GAGCCCCCGATGGGGAGGACTGGGGTGGCTCTGCAGGCTCCTCAGGGTGGAAGCTCTCCTGCAGCTCCCCGATTGACCTCCCCTGTATGGCAGCCTGAGGCAAGTGCAGCTGGGCTGATGGCCGAGTGCTGTGATGTGCCGAGTGTGGGCACTCAGGGTACTCCAAGTCAGGACTGCTTTGCTGTCCCTCATCGAGGTAGACAAGCAAGCGGGGAACCCTGAGAACTGTCTGTCCAGGCTGGGGGTCGGGTCCCTTTACACACAGCCCTCGGCTAGCCTGAGGCAACAGCTCCACGTTCTAAGTCCGTCCTAACCTGATGCCCTGCCGGCACTACTTCCAGCCAGCCTTAACTTCGGTTCAGGGTCCACTCAATGTGGACATGCTAGTTTGAATTAGCAAAATGCTAATTCGAACTAGTTTTTAGGTCTAGATGCACTAGTTCGAATTAGCTTAGTTCGAATTAACTAATTTGAATTAAGTTAGTTCGAATTAGTGCTGTAGTGTAGACATACCCTTAGGAGCTACTGTTAGGATATGTCTACACTACAGCGTTATTTCAAAATATCTATTTTCAAAATAGTTATTTTGAAATAGTATTTTGATATTTCGAAATAGCGCATCCACACTGATTGGATGCTGAATCGCTTTTAAAGCCTGCCAGCAGGGCTTCAGGTCAAAAGTTACCTTGTGGCCAGGGCAGCCAGCAGGGCATCCTGGGAAGAGCTGAAGGCCCCCTATTTCAAAATAAGCATCTACACAGCACTTATTTCGAAATAGCAATTTCAAAATTGGCGCTATTCCTCGTGGAATGGGGTTTACCAATTTCCAAATAAGCCTTCCACTATTTCAAATTAATTTCGAAATAGCACTTGGCTTGTGTAGACGCTAGGAAGGTTATTTCAAAATAATGGGTGTTATTTCGAAATAACTTTGCTGTGTAGACATACCCTTACAGAACAAGTATCAGAGGGGTATGTCTCTGTTGCAGAACAGCAAACCCTTTGGCAGTTGGCACTAAAGGGTTCTTAAGACCAAAATACTCTACCCTGTAAAACTGTCTTTTTAAAATTATTTTCCCAGATAACTCAGTCATCTGGTTATTCTCTTTCCTACTAATCTTTCCTTCCTCATTATTATTTATCCCTTCCTGCTCTCCCCTGTTATAGTTGCCCATGTATATGTTGGACACCTCACAAAATAGGCTAAGGTACATTCCATGCTCCATAGAGTATACTTTCAAAATTTAACTTGATAACCCCTTAGAGAAGAGGAGCGGGAAGGTAAAGAGTGATCATAAAAGGATAATAAAGATAAAAAGAATTAAATAGCTCCTTCTATCTCACAAGTAAGTTTCTCCTTTTTCTTTTGTCTCTCTTCTATTCTCCCCCTCTTACTTCTTCTATTTTCTGTTTCTGTCTCTCTCTCATTTCAGTTTTAAAGAGAACCTGGTGCCTCTAGTGAGGGTATTGATGACGGGAACGCTCTAGGTATTCCTACATCAGATTCATATTGGAAGCACTTGCACCACTTGGTGTGGCTTTTTGCATTGTTATCATAGCACTTGCAGAGGGGGTAGAAGAACAGACTCTCTGTTGATAATAGTGTTTCTACAAGCTCTGTCAAAAGCATGTCCCCATTTGGTCACCTGATATAGCTGTTTTCTTTGGACCTCATTGTTCTCAGTACTGCTACATACACCATGAGCACAGACTTGCTTTTATTTATTATTAATGGCAAGTTTAACTGGTTTCTTAGACATTTCCTTTTAAGCAGCACATGGAGATGTTTGTGAAATCCCCAGTACTGTAATTTCTCAGTGTTTTCTTATACCAGGTCCAATCTGTGGTGCTAGTTCTAATCAGTGTTCAGCTGGTTGCTCATACTCTCCTATGGACAGAAAGTTTGTTCTTCCCATACTGAATGGAGTTTTAGGCATGGACCTGTTACAGGAACAACTAGGGAATGGCTAGCACCGGCAGCCAAACTGCCTCTGTTTTAAGGATTCACAGGATAAATGAGCAATGATGTATACTAATAGGAAGGTTATGGAAGCTGATATATCATGTGTATTGAGCATGTGTGCTCCTGCCGCAAGCACAGCTAGAACTTGAATAGAACAAGTTAAAATCTGTCATCTGAGGAACTTCCAGGTGAACCAAATGGGAACCTCCTTCTGGCTTAACCAATGAAGGCCAAGCTAAAATTCTCTCATCTGGAAGTTTCTCTTTTCCTGTTCTAAAGCTCACTCTTTTTAAAGAAGATTTAAATTTTGCTAGGAACACACTGAATATGTATTACCCCTACCTTGGGGGTGGTTTTAATGAAATATTCCTGTAATAAAATGTGTTCAAACTGTATCTCCAGATAAGATAAAAGGCTGTCCTCCCCAAGCAAAGATGGTTAATGTTTTACATGCCCTTTAATTACTCACGTTCTAGCCCACATATCCAACTCTTCATCCAGGTAAGCTTTAACTTTTTTTGGCTGAAGTCCAAGAGAATTCCCAGCAAAGTAGATGCAGCTTTCATTGTCATTCACTAAAGTTGGGTTAGCTGGGAGGGGAAAAATAAAAAACCCTCAATTATAACTATACCACTATTCAGATAGTTACATTATTTCCTTCCACTCAAAAGAGCACAGATTTTCTGATCAATAGAAATATCAAATAAATGTGGTAAAATACATGCTAGAAACAAACATTAAGATGACATTTCTTTATGCAGTGATTTGATTTTTATGGAAAAATAGATTAAATGACTAGAAAATATCTCTTGCTATGTTTGGCAACACTTCATTGAACTCAACCAGTCGTACATTTGTCAGAAGTAAAGACAACTTGGTTAACTTCTTAATTAAACCTTAAAGGTCTTTTAAAATGCATAAATCAGACAGCAATTTTAATCTCATCTGTTTTACAGATGCTCTATGCCCGGTTTTCAAGCTCATTCTCTTTTAACATGAACGATAGAATGGTGTAAATATTATTCACACTTCTAAATTGGTTCTACCCAGGAAGACAATAATAGTCTCAATGAGACTACGAAAATAATCTTATTCAGAATTTAGAGCTGTAAATCTCACTATTATGCTTTAAATTCCAATCAAGATTAAAACAACTCTGCACTGCAGTCTCGTCCTCAGACATAAAGGCCCATGGCTACTGATGCAGAAAGTGGGTCCTACCTCCTTCCCACATTGTTCTACCTTTTCATCTGTTATCCTGTGGATTCTTTTTATCAACTGCTTGACCTACACCTCTTTCCTCTCACAAAATGCTGATCATTTCCATTTCCCTGGCATATTTAATGCCACATTGCACTGTAGCAGCTGTCTAAACTAAATTTGTTTTTCAGCATCATATTAATTATTCCACAGCTTCTTTAACTAGTGTATTATAAAGCCATAATATTGTACCAGTTACTACTTTTCCCATTTCATTCACAAATCTCTTCATTTTTTAGCGTATGCTACTACCTATATAACTGCCTGCTCCTCCATTTTTTACACACCGTTGGCCTACAAATTATTTCTGGAGAGCTTACAGCGATGGATCTGGCTATATATTGTGGGGTTCCAAAATATTGAGGAAAGGTTGCTAAGCACTTGAGCGCTAGGGTAACAAAAAGACTGTTGCAGTTCAAATATGTGCTCTTACCTAAGTCTGAATATAAAACAAAATGTACACTATAAAAGAAATAAATAAGATTTATATTAAAATTAATTAGATAGGATATAGTAAGTGGTTTTCACACCTGTTAGAATGATTCCAACAGGTCAGCTTTAATAACATATATTCTTTTGCACACGGAAGCCTAGCTGTGCACTACATATAATTTAGAGCTATATTTCTAGTGAACCAAGGTAACCTTTGATCCAAGACCAAGAACAAGTGGTTTTTCAATGATGATGAGTCTAAATGAAGGGTAAATTTATAATTTAATCATTAACCAGGAGGAGCTACTGGCTAATATGGGATATTATATTGTAGAATGAAGAGTAGATGGTCAAAAAGATATTAGGACATTTGCCACTACCTTTCAACATTTTTTGGGGGAAATTATAGTTCAGCAGTTTCAGCTGAGGGCATCTTCACTCAGCAGCACAATGGGGACTATGCAAAATAAGTGCTTAAAATCTGAATATTTAGCTAACTTTTCCACTGTCATCTCACTCCACTTGTTCTTTTAAAACCCCATCTGCATGCTTGCCAAACTCCCAGAACAATATGACTTGGAATCAGACAGTTGGCAGGTTTTCACTTAATTTATAGAGTGTAAACAGTTATTACAATTCACATTTGGATAAGAGAGTTAAACTATCATTATGATATTTGACACTTTTTAGAGTGCACATTACACCTATCTCTCATGAATGTTCTGATCTCCCTTTTTTCAAGACTATGTTAAAACCTTATTCTAATGTTTTATGTAAATATATAAAGAATACTTGATGGCTATTATCTGTAATGACATTTATCTTCAGGAGCAAGTTATCTAGGATCCGCTCATGCGTGAAGATAAATGTCATGAAAGATCAGTCATTATAGTATATCTATACAATATAAATATTTTTACCCCTGCTGTTCTTCAGGACAGGAGCTGCATTTCATGACAGTTTTGTAAAAAAGAAGACTCAGGATGTGTGAGAACAATGACAGATAGAACAGTGCAGTCTTGGTGAAAGGAGATGGGTGGAGAGGGGGAACCATAATACTGAAAGTGTGTTAAAGCAGAGGAACTGGAACATAAAACTCTTCTGACTGGTGTGTGTATAGAAAGAGATACTTTCTTGGACTCAAAGCTGCTGAGATATTAAGATGATAGTTAACCTAGAGATATTCTGACAGAGACAAAGAGAGAGAGAGGAGTCCAAACCCATACACCTCTTTGCTATACATCATGGAGGAGGGAAACAAACAATAAAAGCAAAGTAATCAGCCCCAAATGAGAGCAGAGACAAAAGCAGGGATTCAGAAGAATCCTCCCACTGTGCATCCACCAGAAACCCCTGTGTACAAACTCCATTTCAAAGTTTGGACCACAAATAACTGTGTAGAGTTCTGTTAGGGTATATCTAGACTACACGCCTCTTTCAAAAAAGAGCATCTAGACTACAACCAGTACTTTCGAAAAAGCAAGTCGCTTTTTCAAAAGAGAGTACCCTGGCAGGATGACTGCGCTCTTTCGAAAAAGCACAGTTTGCATTACATAGCACCTTTTCTGAAAGAGCACTTTCGAAAAACGGTGTTATTCCTCATAAAACAAGGTTTACCGCGGTCGAAAAAGCCACCGCATTTTTTCGATTTATTGTCAACAGAATGCGGCAGTAGTCTAGACGCAGGTAAAGATTTTTTGAAAAAAGGCCATTTTTTAAAAAAAATCCCTGTAGTCTAGACACACCTGAAGCGCATGTTTAGACTACAAGCCTCTTTCAAAACTACTACCTGTGAAAACTCTTTCGAAACTGACTTCCTGAGAAAACTACAAAACATCGATAACCTCCCTGATAATGCCATCCTTGCTACCATGGATGTAGAAGCTCTCTACGCCAACGTCCCATAAGAAGACGGATTATAAGCAATTAGAAACACTATCCCAGAGGATACCACTGCCAGTCTGGTAGCAGACCTATGTAACTTTGTTCTCACCCACAATTATTTCCAATTTGGGGACAAGTTATACCTCCAGATCAGCAGCACAGCCATGGGTACCCACTAACATCCCCACAGTACACTAACATCTTTATGGCTGAGTTAGAACAACATTTTCTCAGATCCCGTCCCTTTTTACCCCTTCTGTACTTATGCTACATCGATGACATCTTTATGATCTGGACCCATGGCCAAGAAACACTTGATGCATTCCACAGGGACTTTAACAACCTACATCCCACCATCAATCTCAGCCTGGACCATTCTACACTACAAATCCATTTCCTGGACACCACAGTACAAATCACCAATGGTAAATTAGACACCACTCTCTACAGAAAATGCACTGACTCCTACAGTTACCAATGTGCCTCCAGCTCCCATCCAGGACACACCATACGATCCATCGTCTATAGCCAAGCCCTTCGATACAACTGCATCTGCTCTAATCCCACTGACAAAGACCAGAAACTTCAGGATCTCTACCAAGCATTTATAAGCCTTAATTACCCACCCATAGAAATAAAAAAAACAAATTGAAAGAGACAGATGAATACCCAGAAACCATCTACTTCAAGACAGACCCAAGAAAACCAACAATAGAACACCACTTGTCATCACCTACAGCCCCCAACTTAAACCCGTCCAATGCATTATCAATAAACTGGAACAGGATACTACTCTCCGAGAGGCTCTGGGAGACAGACCCATAGTCTCCTATAGACAACCACCAAACCTCAGGATGATTCTTACTTACAACTACAGGACATACCACACTAATACCAACCCTGGAACTTTCCCTTGCAACAAACCCCGGTGCCAGCTTTGTCCACATATTTACTCTGCTGACACCGTTATTGGACCTAACCATGCCAAGATCAAGAACACATATTCCTGTTCATCCAGAAATATAATTTATGCCATCATGTGCCTAAAGTGTCCGTATGCTATGTACATTGGACAAACTTCTCAGACACTTTTTCAAAGAATCAATGCACATAAAACAGACATCATACTCTCTCACAGACAGAAAGCTGTTGCTTGCCATTCCAGCCAGACTGACCATTCTCTCAATGACCTTAAAACATGCATATTGCTTCGGAGAGATTTTAACTCCAGACTTCAAAGGGAAGCTTCAAAATTGTCATTCATGCTTAAATTTGACACTTTATGTATGGATCTCAACAAAGATGCTAATTATCTCACCCATTACAAGGATAGCTTCCCCAATTATCACCCCTAATGTCATTACCTCACAGACTCTAACCTTCCCCCCTCACCCCAACTCTGTTCTAAAATTTGATTTGTCAATTTTATATGTGTTCACTTTTTTTTTCTTGTATCATTTAGGTATATATGATCATGCCAACTTTCTTCAACAAATTGACCTGAGGAAGTGGGTCTGGCCCACGAAAGCCCATCGCCTAATAAACCATCTTGTTAGTCTTTAAAATGCTACATAATTCTGTCTTTTGTTTTAGCTAGACCAGACTAACACAGCTACATCTCTATCACTTTTTTCGAAAGAGCACTTTTGAAAAAAGGCATTCTTCCTTGTAAAATGAGGTTTACCACAGTTGAAAAAACTGCCACGTTCTTTTGATTTAATTTCAAAAGAATGTGGCAGCAGTCTAGATGCAGGGGAAGTTTTTTTTTTTAAAAAGGCCACTTTTTTACAAAAAAAAAATGTAGTCTAGACACACCCATAGAGTAAAACGATTAGGCTCAGACCTGTTTCCACTGAAGTCAGTGACAAAGTTCCCATGGACTTCCAGGAGAGGAAAGATCAGTCCCCACCTGCAGAGGTTACGTCTACACTACAGAGTTTTGTGGAAAAGCAACTTTTTTTTGCAAAAACTAGCAGATCATCGACACCTCAAGCACATTTTTGTGCAAGTAAATCAAAAGATCAGAGGCGTTTTTCACAATTGGTAATCCTCATTCTACGAGGAAGAATGCCTTTTTGCGGAAGAGCTTTTGCACAAAAAGGCATGTGTGGATAGGGAAGAGGGATTTTTTGTGTAAGCAGAGGGAAGAAGAAAAAGCACAAGTGCTCTGGTGGCCATTCGGTCCATAGCAATCACTACTTACTTGTAAGAGAGCATCCAGGCAGTCTGGACGCTCTCTTGCACAAGAAGTTTTAGCAGAAGATCTCTTCCAGCAAAAAGCCTGCAGTCTAGATGTAGCAGAGAGAACTAGATTGCATACCCCTCTATGCCTTCTGACTCATCTGAGGGGTCACAGAGTGTAGCTTTGCTAGGGAATCTAATGACATTATAGACACAGAAGCAAGTCATGTTTCCAGATTTTGGATGAGCAGAAAGGAATAGGAAAACAAAGACACTTTCATTACTTTGCCCAGAGAGTCACAGAATCCCTTCTGTCTTCTACCATAGATCTCTACATAACAGAGGTCAGGGACTAGCCTTTTCACCATATGCCCCAGTGTTTTGGGATGTGCCATCTGTACCTCCACTTGCAGAGGAACATGTAGTGGATTATTTGGTAGCAGTTTTGTGGGCAAATATTTCTGCGTATTTTTACAATGAAGGTAAATAGAGTGTTTTCTTTTATAATGGCCAAACTTTGCAGAATGAGGCTAGTTATTGATCTACTAGGTTTCAGCTTTGAATTTTTCTTGAATTATTTATTAAATGATTCCTGGTGGCTTGCAACAGCAGGAAGGAACAAGTTTACTACATAGATTTACCATGTAAGGAAAATGATGTCCTTGAAGATTTTAGAATTATATTGATTTGAACTAGTGTGCACTTTTTGCTTAGACTCACACATGGGAGATCTAAAACAGATTTGGTTTCCTAAACCAAAACTTAGATGGTAATAGGTTTATTGCAAAGGTGATTATTTTGATTTCTCTTTTGTAGAATTTCAATACCAACATATACCATGATATATGTATGTCATGGAACTGGAAGGGACCGTGAGAGGCCATTGAGTCCACTCCCTTGCCTTCACAGCAGAACCAAGCACCATCCCTGGTAGATTTGCCCTAGATCCCTAACTGGCCCCTTGAGAATTGAACTCACAACCTTTGACTTAGCAGGCCAATATTCAAGCCACTGAGTTATCCCTCCCCCTTTAAATAAGTGAATTATTAATGAAGCTAGTATCATCAAGTAGTCTTAGTGAAACAACAAACCTGCTCACCACCTCTTGTAACTGAATATAATGTGCAAGTTTAAACTAGCCAAGATATTTTATACTAATCTTCTCATTAGAAATCACATTTTTAACACTCACTATTTTAAAAAGATAAACTTCCAATGTGTGCCCTATGGATAACATTTACAATATTTCCCATTTGAAAGGTTTTGCTACAAATCTACCATCACTTGTTCTTGTGCCTACCTCCAGATGCTAGATCTATGGAGCTCATAAGAACTGAGTAAATAATAATAAATAATCACAAACTCCACATCTTCTAATTGTCTTCTCTGAGCTTCCCAGTACACTCTGTCTTTTCTTGTTTAGATTATAAACTGTTTAAGGCAGGGATTATATTTTTTCTGGTGTATCATTGAGCGTATTATGTATAATTGACACTTAACTAAAAACAATTAATAGCATTCCTGTTAATCACCCATCAATATGAAGCAATTGGATATGTCCAGATTACCATTTCTAAACTGTGTAATTTGAACAGGAGGTCTCCTGCAAGAGCAATTCATTTTGTAATATATAGTTCTACTGTAATTGCTTTGGGAAAGTTAGAATGATGTAGGGATTTTTTTTTTAGCCATGTTTGAAAATATGAGCCATATTTCACCCTTAATATTAACTTATTGCTAAAATAGTTCAGTGACTTACATGGAATTATTTGTGGCTACTGTCATGAGGTCATGAGTAAAAGAATCAACATTTCCATACATACTTTGGTCAAGATGATGCACACATTATGAAAATTGTTCCAGTTATTTTGTTTGCCCTTTAGCTATAATTTTGTCACTCAGTCATTTCTGCTTCACTGGTCTTAAGCCTGACATTCAAATGTTAGACATGTCTTTCTATAATTCAGATTCCGTTCATGGGGTGAGTAAATAATGCAAAAAAGTATTTTATTCTTAAATTATGTATTTGAATGTGTACTATTAGCATCCCTTTGTTCTTAGGAACACACCTATTCTTCCTATGAATATCTACTGATGTATATGATAGCAGGGTTATTTGATAAAACAGGGAATATTGATTGAATATTTTAAAAAGGTTGATAAAAAACTTTTCAGTATCTAACTATGAGTTTTCACACAAGACACCTGATTCTATCACTGAAATTCACCCAAAGAGGGGAATAGAAACACACTAGGATATTTAGGTCTCGTGCTCACAATAAGCTGTTTACAAGCAAACTACAGACCAAGGAATTAGCCACATAAATTTAGTGAATCATTTCCAATCATTGTATTTGAGAAAGTCTTGCTCTTTTTGCAGACAATTCCTGAACAGAAAAAGAATAACAATTTTTCAAATAAATGGTTCATACTGAATTACTTGACCATATAAATATTTTCCCCTAAGAGAGAGTTCTATATTTCCCTTAGGATCCTGTATTAAATTCCTCTTGAGACCTAACAATGAAATATTATGTACTCTAACATAACATATATGCCGTCTCTTCCATTACCACAAAATAATCATAACATAAACCATAACATTAAACTATGGTGTACTGCACAAGCAATCATTCTGACCTGTAAATTCTCAGAGACATTGAAATTTCAATCCATTAGATAAAAAAAATATTTTTCCCATAATTTTTAGTCAGTCATTATATTGTTCAAAGAATTGACTGACAGCATGAGCGTACAGTAAGTACTGTATTTTCACATTTAATTCAGGACAGGAATGAAAGCATATTCTATGACGGAATAAATTGATGGATTTATTTAGCAACAGCAAGGATGAACTGTGCTCAGATATAACTGCAGTTGTTCAATTATAATAGGCAACAATAATTTCCATAGATTTATGGAAAAATATGCAGAGATGCAAAACTCCCCAAGATAATTATGATTCTCACTTGGAGGTAGATCCTTCACTTTTGGAATATGGAAACATTCACGGAGGTGTTTCAGCTCATCTTCTTCATCTAAGTGCAAAGCAAGTTTCTCATCTGTTGGATTGCATCCTAACTGTGAGGCAGTCTGTTCTAAAATGGTCACTGGGAACTCATGAGACGATGAATCCATTTTCAAGTCATTCAATTTCACCTTAAAATAGAAAATATCAAAGTTTAAATTGTACAGGAGACATATTAACTAGGGATTGGTAAAAGACCACTAATGCCACCTTAGAAAAAACACAAGATTTATTTGATTTCAAGCTTTTATAAAGTGAAATATCTGAATGGGATGGCAAAACCAAAATTGATCAATTCAGGCATTTACAAGGTAAATTGCAGAAGCCCCAAAGGCATCTTTTCCCCAGATACAATGTTATTTCCTCTTTAGACTGTATCAGCTGCTTCTAAGTTCTACCACTGCTCCGGCAGCAGTAACAAGTTCTATAGTGTCATTCACATTTGCAGAACTTGAAGCCAGGGGCACTATTATTATTTTATTGTTTCTGCAATCTGTGTTCTGAAAGAGAGCAGGTGTGTAGCTGCATTACAAGTTGTTTTCCAGTCTGTGCAATCTTCAAATGCTCTCAAGTTTTTTCACTCACCTAAATAAATAAATAAATAAATCAGAGACAGAGACAGACAAAGACAGCGAGAATGCTTGTGGCAGTGAAAGATATCATTGTATGATTGGAAGTGTTTTTAGAACAGAATATTGAAATAATACTTCGCCACATCAGTATGTAGTCAACGTTATACCTGCTGTGCACTGATCAAGGGTATGTCTACACTACAGCGTTATTTCAAAATAAGCTATTTCAAAATAGCTAATTCAAAATAGATTATTTCAAAATAACACGTCTACACACAAAATGCATTTTGAAATAGTGTTTTTCTATTTTGAAATAGCACGTCCACCCTGACTGGATGTTGAATTGCATTTAAGGCTGGTTGGAACCAGTTCCAGCAAGGCATCAGGTCTGAAGTTGCATTGTGGCCAGGGCAGTCAGCAGGGCACCCTGGGAAGGGCTGGAGGCCCCCTATTTCGAAATGAGCGTCTATGCAGTGCTTATTTTGAAATAGCAATTTCAAAATTGGCACTATTTCTCATGGAATGAGGTTTACTAATTTCAAAATAAGCCCTCCGCTATTTCTAATTAATTTCAAAATAACAAAATGGCTGTGTAGATGCTAGGAAAGTTATGTTGAAATAACTATTGTTATTTCGAAATAACTTTGCTGTCTAGACATACCCAAAGAAGGAAGAAAGTGGGAGAGACAATCCAAGCAGTAAATATGACAGTCCATATTTTCCAATAAGTACACAAACTACAATGGCAATATCTGTTAAGCCCACTAGTCTTCACATGAACAATAGAGAAACCTTAGGTGAAGGGTCTAGAACATAAAAAAGTCCCTTTAATTAATTTTCCATGTATATGCAGGTTTATTTGAAAATTTGACTTAACAGATTTTTTTGTCAAAGAATACTTGTCTTTGGAGTAGTTTCTGTAAATTGAATACTGTTGTACATTATTGGCCAGCTCTTATGCACCAACTGAACCCCAGTTGAGTTCTGCAGCACTTGGAAAATGCTCTTTGGCTCAACCTTCTCCCAGTGGCAAATAAGCCACTGGGCCAAAGAGCATGCCCAACGGTTCCAGCCAAATGGGAAGCCATGGAAAACTGGGCATCCATGTGCCACCACTAGTTCTGACCCACTGCTCGGTGTCTCTGCTTGAGAGCAGGCTCACTGTGGGGCAAGCCTCTAACTGCTCTCCCTGGCTAAAGCAACAGGCAGAGAAAGGCAAATCCCCAGATGGAACGGTTAGTGGAGCAAGGCAAGCCTCCAGCCAGATTCCCTTATGGAAGCTCGAGGGCCAGATGAAAAGGTCTGGCAGGCTAGATTCATGGAGGTTAATTAATGAAGATGGATAGGAATGATGTCCGTAGCCTCTGTTAGAGGCTGGGAATGGGTGATAGGAGAGGAACTGCTTGATGATTCTCTGTTCTGTTCACTCACTCTGGGGCATCTGGCATTGGCCACTGTTGGAAGACAGAATACCAGGCTAGATGGACTTTTGGTCTGACCCAGTATGGCAATTCTTATGTTCTTATGCATTCCACAGGCCACATTTTGCTCATGCCTGGTAGAAAAGTCTTGTTCCACATTGGTGATATCACATGACTTACTTCAGAATTTTGCGAAATGAGGCAGGTTTTCACCAAATGATGTAAAAATTGCTCAGAAGAAGGCTCAATTTTGAAAAATTTTACCGGATGCGATTTCCTCCTCCACTTTTCCCTCTTCAACTTTCTGATTCCTATTTTCCTCCAGGAGACAGCATTTACTTTCTATAACTGAAGAGGAGTGATAGTTTTCATGTAACTTTCGAAAATAAAACTTACATCAGAAACGGCACATACAATGACAACTGGCTAAATGAAACAGCCAGAAAGACTGGCTGGCAAAACATGATAAAACAAATGTCCATTTGTTATCAGTGACATTATGTGCTATTTCTCTGGATACCATCAGGTCTGGTATACACTACATGGGAAGGATAAAGTAAGATACATAACTCTGGCTATGTAAATTATGTTCCTGGATTCAATGTATCTTAAATACTTGTCCACAAAGCGGGAGGTTGATAGGAGCAAACACTCCTGTCAGTTTCCCTTACTCCTCGAGGGAAATAGGCATACTGGTGCCAATGGGGGTGACATTTGAGTTTGACCTAGTGGGTCTATATTACACCTGCTAATTGAACCCATAAGATTGTTGTGAGTAAGACACCGGAAGTCATTCTTCTCCTCTTCTCTGCACTGATTAGGCCTAATTAGAGTATTGAGTCTAGTTCTGGGCACCACATTTTAAGAAAGATGTGGAGAAATTGGAGAAGGTCCAGAGAAGAGCAGCAAAAATGATTAAAGTTCTAGAAAGCATGAGCTATGAGGCAAGGCTGGAGGAACTGGGCTTGTTTTGTATGGAGAAGAGAAGACTGAGAGTGGATGTGATAGTGGTTTTCAGGTATCTAAAAAGGTGTCACAGAGAGGAGCTGGGGAAATTATTCTCCTTGGCCTCTGATGATAGGACAAGAAGCAATGGGCTTAAACTGCAGCAAGGGACTGTCAGGGTGATTAAACACTGGAATAAGTTGCTAAGGGAAGTTGTGAAATCTCCATCACTGGAGATATTTATGAGCAAGTTAGACAGATATCTGTCAGGGATTATATAGACCATGCTTGATCCTGCCATGAGAGCAGGGGACTGAACTTGATGATCTCTTGAGGTCCCTTTTTTTTCCAGTTCTAGTATTCTATAATTCTATTATTCTATTATTCTAAATATCGACTGCAGCAGCAGCATTCTTCCATGAAGTGTAGATGTGCCCTAAGTGGTTATCATAGAGGACAGTTGCAAAGTTGCTTTGTGGTTGGGAGTTAAAGTTGTAGCAGGATTCCTTTATGTTTTTCTTTTTTCATTTGAGATAACCCTAAATGAGACTCAATTTCTTAATTTCTAAAGTCTTTTCTATTTCTCTTCTTTCTCCCTTATGTACTCGGGTGTCTGTTTCTATACATCTCTTACCATTCCCCTTTGTACTTCCACTCCTTGTCCATAATTCCCTATCTGGTACTAGTTCTTTGTTCTCATATTTCATATCATTCTCCTACTTGTATGTTAGCTAGACACACACATGCACACGCACACACATATGTAGGTAGGATCTGAAGGAATGCTTGCCTTACAGAAAGCTAGGAGCGGGGAGAGATCCTGGGTGTGTCTATGTAAATGCAGTTTACTCCTGCTTTGCTTAGTTTTGTTAAATATTCAGCTGATGGAGCAGTGATTTTCTCATTATAATTAACTTGGCTGGTTTTGAGTCACAAATTGTATTAATACTAATTGTAATGTCTGTAATTAGTGTGGAAATAGAGACAAGAAAGATGTTGTTTAACCTATCTTAAAGGAGGGAAACTTAGTTTAAAAAATAAGACTCTGGAAGTGTGCATGTATATACAGTTTGCTCCTGGTTCTTTAGATTTGCTAGATATTCAACTGATGCAATGGTGTTTTGCTCATTGTAATCAATTGGGTTGTTGTGGGGTCACAAATTCTATTCATACTAAATTCAGTAATTGTGAAATACGATCACTAATGCTTTGCAATTACTATGGGAATACAGAGAAGATAGACTGTGTTGAACATATTTCAAAAGAGGGAGACAGTGTCAGTGTAAAGAATTTCTGATGGGAAGGTCTCCATTGTCAGAGTTCTGTAAGGTTAAGAAGGGATAGCAGGACTTCCAGTCACCAAATTACATATCCTCAAGGCATTAGCTATAAAACTGGTTCAACCTGCTTCTCTCTGATATCTCAGGAGAAAAGCTAAAATAGGCTTCATAAGGTGTCTTCTTTATTATTTTAAATGTACTCCAGTGAATGCTGAAATTTCCTGTAGCTGGTCTGTGTTTGGGCCAAGAGTGAAATCATAAGAGCTAAAATCATTCATGGTAGGGCTGAGTTTTTGCCCAGAGTCAAATTCACCATGAACAAGGTGGTGACAGACAGCAATGAGCAGGCGGATGGCGAGCAACCAGCTGAGTGAGATGCATATTTACCTCCCCCCAACAGAAGTAGTGGGTGAACTCAGTAGCTTTACTTCTAAACTCTGAGTCTGTACTGACCAAAGGTAGCAACTATGAGTGAGGTGCAGAGAAGGGTTGGGCACGTGAAGGAGACATTTAGATTACTGGACTTAAGAACCTGAGAGGAAAAGGACACTGCTCAATTTACTTGGAGTAGGATTTTTACTCATGGTTTAAGTTTATGAACCCCATTTGTGGTGATTTCCCAAATTAATGCCAAGTTACTTTCTCCCTCTTATTAAAAGTTTATTTTCTCCACTCAGACTCCATGCTTGAGAATAGGGGAAGTACAGCCTCTCAGGGGTGCCCAGAGTATGTGTGAATTTCTGATATTACTGACAGGGGGCTCGAGGGGATTCTGTGTTGGATGGATGGAGAGGACCCCCTTAGATACTGAATCCAACCTAGGCTGCTGCTGGCTTCACCTGGCCAAAAAGTAACATATGCAATGATTTGATGAAAAAGACTCATCAAATCCCAAAGTGGCTATTGGGAATCTCCTGTTTTCAAGTAGAACAGATGCACTGAAAATTAAGCAGTTAAAATTAATGACAGTTGGAAAACTGTCATTATATATTCAATCAGCACAAATATCATTACATTACCCTAATAATGCTCTAAAACAAACACAAATATTATTTCTCTTTTGTTTTTTATACATAGTTTACTTACTTAAAAATATCAAAGGAAACATTAACAAACCATCCTATCAAACTGATAAGGAAAGGATCATTAGGTTTAATTATAAGAACTATAATTTGATTATTTTAGATCCATTGTATACTATTTTATAGTTCTAGTCCCTGCCTATATAATTGTATCATCATATCTTCATTATTCAACTGTTGTCTCCCAATATTTTCCAAAAGTGTTCCGAGCTGATTACTCACGGTACATTCCAAATAACACCGCACTGCCACAAGGCATAACATGAGTCCTTACTTAAAGCCGATTCAGTAAATTCTTAAAAGAGGTTATCACATGAAGAACATTTGTTCTGCCTTCTGCCCTCCAATAGCAGTTCAACAAGTTGCCAAAGATTGTTTAACCCATAGAACTTTCAGAGGAGTATCCATGTTAGTCTATAACTTAAAAAAAACCAAAAACCCTTAAACAACAAGGTCCTCTAACACCTTAGAAACTAACAAAAATTATAAATAGTATCATGAACTTTCATGGTCACAGCCCACTTCTGTTTTTCAAGCTGCTGCCCTAAAAAAATGTTTAAGAGGGTCACATACATGCAATATAAATCTGTAGTCTCAAGAGTTAAAGACACCAGGCTGAATTAACCAATAGCATTGTTAGAGATAGTAAAGGATTAAAGAACAACAGAACTATAAACTTTACAAAGCAAAGTACAAGGGTCTGATCTTGCAACCTTTAGTTATGTTAGTAATTTTTAATTTATATAAGTACAGTTGCCAAGATCAGTTCCTAAAAGCAAGCCAAAGCAATTTGTTTACTAAACTTATGTCATCCTAAGAGGGTTTTCAAAATACTGCATTAAATTCAACTAAATTATAGAAGTTTAAGTAATGAAAAATATTCTAAATATAATATTCACAGCATGTCTGGTACAATGTAAAGACAAATATTCAGTAAACATATACTTATATTATTAAATAAGGTACAGTAACAATGTCACATGTGCAGCAACAGAACGTGACAGACTAGAATTACAGTAACCTCAGTAACTTAAACTAACTTAGGCACATATTGACCTTAACACCAAAAACTGATACAACATTAAAACTAATTTTGCACAAAACTCATCTTTCTCCTCCACATAAAACCACATTACCCTGAAGTTAGCAGCCATTTCAGACAAAGAACAAGGAAGTTCTCAAACACTTAAACAAGCTTGTGACAAGAACAGCTTTTTCCACAGCCCTGCGTTTTCTATGCAAAGACTGAACAGCATTATCTCTGAACACATGACCATTTGCAGCTAATCAGAACTCAAACACATTGTTCCTGTGATCACAGGAATTCATTCCTCTGATCACAACAAAATAAAAAGAGACTCCACAAAAACAATACAAAATCTAACCCCCCCCCCCACCATTTATCAACAACTTTACTTTCTATTATATAGGGATCATTGCTATTCTTACGGTCTTCTTCGGGTGTGTGTACAATTGACACTGGGGATAGAGTGTAGGCACCACCATAACTAAAAATAGAATGTAGTTTCAGTAGGGCAATTGTCTAGACACCCTGAGGTACATGCTGTCAGTCTAACCATCATGGCTACACTCTTTTTTTTTTTTACCATAGCAGCTGGGTCACAGCTAGTGTTGGAATGTCTCCTTCAGCTGGAATTTACCTTCCCTGCTCCAAATGTAGATATACCCTGAGGCTACGTCCACACTGCACATTTATTTTGGAATAAGCTATTCCAGAAAAAATATTCTGAAATAGCTTATTTCAAAATAGCATATCTACATACCAAAAGCTCATCGAAATAGCACTTAGCTATTTCAAAATAGAGCGTCCACGCTGACTGGATGCTAACTCGCATTTAAGGCCATCTGGAACCACTTCATGCAGGGCATCGGGAGAGCAGTTACTTCCTGGTGCTGCTACTTGAGGCTATCTGAAGCTCTTGCTCAAAAGGATTTTGTACAGCAGTGCCTCCGGATTTTTTCCATTGTCTGCCTCCCTAAGGGACAGCAAAGCCTTTCTTTTGCCTGCTGTGGTTGCCCTTGCAGACACCTCAGCTATCCAGCTATAGAGCTGGAGCTGCCTCTGAGCAATTGCTGCTATTGCAGCTTGTACTGCACCTCATACAGCGGTTTCTGCAGGCTGCCTCCCAGGCTCTGCAGGAACTCAATCTCCTGCTCCGCTTGGAGACTCTCCTCTCATCTCTGCATATGTGGCTTAAGCTGCTAGACCCCGCTCACCTTCTGTAGCCAGATAGGAACCCCCCTTGTAACATTTATTTTTGCTTGCTTCAAGCATACAGGGCATACAGAGCAGAAGGCCCAGGCTGTGTGACCGTGAATGGCTGTAAACAGAGATATGCCAATTGCTGACCAAGAGGCTGCTGAAGAGTGCCCTTAACTTAACATATATTGATACGAACACACAGCCGTCCGCGGGAAAAGAAATTTTTTGCCCAGTAAAAAAATGTTTAGTACTTACAATTTAGTTATTTTTTTTGCAAGTGTAAATTAACTTAAAACTTGCTTGTAAAAACTGGCGCCACAAAACGGACCTGTACAATTTGGCCTTTTAAATAAAAAAAAGAATATGGGCCCCCAGGAGTATAAAGATGGGTTTAGCAGCACATTTATGTTAAGTGTTAATTTACCCTTTATTTGCTGGTTGGGTTAGGTGTTTAATTTTTTGAGGTTCCAAGGGAACACCCACCTTGTATTTGTTTTTCCTAAAAATTAAAAGACCGGCCCTCGCCTGATACGCTGAAGTTAAAAGGCACAAAAAGGGGTAAAAATTGTATTTGAATGTGGTTCTTTGTTTTAAGTGTACACATAAATTTAAAGCTTTTTAAAGATTAAGCTGTTATTTGGTACCATTATTTTTATTTTCTATATTTTCTTTGTAACTATTTTTTTTAATTTATATTTGCTAGCAGTTAAAAAATAGAGCAATAGCCATTGTAACCATATGCTTTTATAAGTTTTTTTAATAAACCTATAACTGTTTAAGCTTTAACCTAACTTTTTTAGTTGCTGTAATAAAACCAAGCACAATTTAAAAAAACTTTAGCCGGTCATAAAAAAATAGTCATAAAAAAAGCTTGGGCGTTTAAATCTGTGTCACTCCCAGGTAACTGGTCCATTGGGGCACCTTTCAGCCTTCCCTAGGCTGCCCGCTGTGAAGAAACTTTGTGTTCTAGCAGCTAAAATCTAAGGTATAATAAGCTCTTCCTATATAAAGGGGCATCTGTTGGCCTGCTGGCCACCCTCTGCGACAGAACCCCGGTCCTAGCAGTAAAAACACGAACGTTAAACCTTTTCTCGAAAACACACACACACACACACACACACACACACACACACTGCCCTAACCATCGGCTAACCCCTTCCCCTATACACCATGCACCACCACTTCTGGCACCTGGTCACTAGAGCCGGCTGGTGGGACTAGCTTCTCATGGAGCAATGGAGTGATCAGCATGGGCCAGAACTTTCAGATGCGGAAGAACATCTTTCTGGAGCTCTGTGAGAGGTTTGTCCCTGCCATCAGATGATGGGACACTCACATGAGACCCGCCATCCCCCTCCAGAAGCGGGTCACCATAGTCCTGTAGAAGCTCACCCTGCTGGACAGCTACTGAGTGGTCGGGGACCAGTTCAGCGTGGAGAGATCGACCATAGGAGCCTTACTCAAGCAGGTATGGCACTCTTGGGCCATTGCCCCCGGAGGGGGGTGAACTTAGGAAAGGGAGGGGGTTGAAGGATGGTGGTGGTGGTAGTGCAAGCCCCCTCCCTGAGAGGTTTTCAGTCCTGTCCTCACAAAGCCCTGCTGGGGAATGGGGTAATTGTGTGTGGGGGGTGGGGGAAGGGGGTTTGTTCCTAGTGTGTGTGTGGGGGGAGGGGCTTGGGTTCAGGGACCTTATGAGGGCTCTGGCTACTGATTCTCTGTTTGTTGTTTGTCTCCTACAGATTCTGTGGGCCATCAACACCATCTTGCTGAGCAGGGTATTCAACCTTGGCGACATGGACACCATCATCACTGGCTTCTCCAACATGGGCTTTCCCAGCTGTGGTGGGAGAGAGCTATTGATGGCACCCACATCCCCATCTGGACTCCCAATCACCGTACTTCTGTCTACATCAACCAGAGGGGATACTTCTCAATTGTCTTGCAGGACCATTGGGGCAAGTTTACAGCCATCTAAGTCAGGTGGTTGGGGAAAGCACACTACTCCCATGTCTTCCACAACTCCAGCATGTTCCCAAAACTGCACACCAGAACTTTTTTCCCAACCGCACAATCAGGATTGGGGATGTGGACATGCCCATGTTCATGGTGGAGGACATGGCCTATCCTCTTTTGTCCTGGCTCATGAAGCCTTACGCCAACCACCTAGACCACTATAGAGAATGGTACAACACCAGGCTCAGCAGGGCTCACATAGTCATTGAGAAAAATGTAGCCGTGTTAGTCTGGTGTAGCTGAAACAAATTACAGGACTATGTAGCACTTTAAAGACTAACAAGATGGTTTATTAGTTGATGAGCTTTCGTGGGCCAGACCCACTTCCTCAGATCAAATGGTGGAAGAAAATAGTCACAACCCTATATACCAAAGGATACAATTTTTTAAAAATGAACACATATGAAAAGGACAAATCAAATTTCAGAACAGGCTCTGGGGATCACACCACCATGGGTGAAGGGCCTCTGGTGGCCACAGGAGAGGGGTTTAGGAAAGAAGTGGGAACAAAAACAGGTGCAGACAGCATGCTGGTGACCAGGTATTGTACAGCCATGCACATGATGCGGCCGTGATCTCGCATCTCCCAGCAGGTGTCTTGCTGCTGCTGGATGTCTTCTTGTATTCTGCAATCTGTGGTCTGCTCCATGGATTGCAGTGCCATGAGGTGGTCCCTCTGGAATTCATCAGTGGGTCTCCAGCACCTGCAGGTCCCTCAGATTCGGGAGGCTTCCCAGGCTTGTTGTCCGCCCTCCTCTCACAGCTGGTCTGGCTGTGGAGAATAAAGAGAGACAGTCAGCCATCCCATCTCTTGTAACTATTTGTGCTATCTACTCACTGTCTTTCTTTTTCTTTCTCCTCTCCCCTTTTTCCTCCCTCCCCTCTCCTTCCCTTATTTATTCTTGGATCTAGACTTCTTATACTCCGGGCATCTGAAGAAATGGGTTTTGACCACGAAAGCTCATGATACCATCTACTTGTTTTGTTAGTCTTTAAGGTGCTACTAGACTATCTGTTGTTTTTTTAAGTCACCCCAGGTGACACTGTGCCTGGAGCCTAGCTCTCATCTCTGAGACAAGAGCAAGAGTACTTGGCTTAAATGAAGGTGATGTGCTTGGAGCAAGGCCATGTGCACTCTAGCCAGTGGGCTGTTGCCTGCAGGGGCCCAGATGTCCCTGGGGGGAGGGGAGCCTCATTATACCCCCATCCTGTGGACAAGCAGGCATATGAAGGTGCTGACCAGACTGGGATCCTGTGGGTGTGAGGGGTGGCCATAGGACAGCTGGGCTTCCCTTCATGCCATGTACCTGTCGGGT